ATATATCTATATATAATATAACAAATAAAAAAGTAATTTTATATTACTTTTTCTCTCTTATAAAGGATAATTTTAAAAATATTTTTTAAATATTACCTATAAAGCAACATCATGACTTATAAATAAAATTAAATAAATCTTTTAAAACCTATCTTATAAATAAAATCAGAGGAAACATATCATTTATTAAGTAGTAGATACAGAGGACTTTCTTATAAGAAATAAACCAAATTAATTGATATCAAGAATTTAAAAAAAATTGTAAAGGGCATCTTCAGGATGACCATACTAATTAATGTTAACATAAAAAAATTCCTCATAAATTAAAACATAAGATCTTTAAAAGTTATATCTTATACTAGTAATAATAAATAGGAAGAGTAATTAATAATTGAGAAGTAACCCTGCAAGTAATATTTGAATCATGAATCATTATCTTAATCAAGTCACCTTCCATGACCCAACTCTATATTCCAAAAAAATAATAATAATAATAATAAAGAGAGAGAAATGCACCAAATTAGTTAATGGTAAATATAGAAAAGATAATTCCTTAATGTAACCGATTAGGCTTTTAAGTTCCAATTGATGCAAAACCAGAAATAAATGCTCCCAACGTCCAACCAACTGGTAGATATCCTTGTCAATTGATTTGGTTCAATAATTTCAGTCTCATTGCACATGCATTTACTGAATGGACGTACCTTTGACTGCCACATTTACCGACTCTAAATCTTCAAGACTTTAATGCTTTAATTAATGTGAGAACAAGTTGCCTTGCATATCGTTTTAACACATTTCAATATAAAAATATCAAATCTATTATCCCCAAAATATGTGTCTTGTTTATTAATGGTAAAAAAAAAAAATAAACATCGGCAGTTAAATCTAAGTGGACTCATTAATGATGTTAAAAAAGTTATCATCTAATCTTATTTATAAATTATTTTTAACATATTTTATTATAACTAAAAAAAATTTAAAATTTAGGAGTAAAGTAAATTTTTTCCTATACTTTTTTTTCAGGAAATGCTGGATATTCTGTACTACTAAGTATGACATTTTTTTCTAAACTATTTTTAATTGAGTAAAAATTTTCCTCCATTAATAATCTGTTAATAGAGAGTGAATTTTCACTCATTTTAAAAATAATTTAGCAAAAAAAATATTTTACTTATTAGTATATAGTGTCCAGTGCTTTTTGAAGGAAAGAAACTTCAAGGTAGGCAATACTCTTTGAAAAAAAATTCAAAGACAAATTAACATTAAAGGACATGTCACGTTAGCAAAAAATGACAGAGTTAACGGATCATTAATAAAGGAGAATTTTTACTCCTCTAAAAATGATTTAGGAAAAAAAAATGCCCACTTATTAATCCAATGTGCTCAATACTTCTAGAAAGAAAATACAGGGAAAATGAACTTTACTTATAAAATGGCTAAAGTGTGTTTCATTTTGATTTTTTAATTTTATAAAGTGGTTTTTTAGTCATTTAACTCTAACATCATCAGTTTTATTACAAAAAAAATCTATATTAAACTTACAACATTCTTAAATGTTGATCTGTCATGTTTAATTTTTAAAATAATAATGATCGGCACAAAAAATGATCATTTAAAATTAACAGTGTTAGGTTTTAAGGACTAAATATATATACTTTATAAAATTAAGAGATCAAAATAAAATTTTGTATAAAGTTGAATATATAAAAAATTATTAATAACTCTTAAAATTGTGTTTCATGCGACTATTGATTTTTTAATAAAATAATATATAAATAATAAGTGTGAAATTTTATTTATTTGTAATTTATAAAATTATAGATTATAATTTTAAACCATGCAATTGTAGTTGCAGGAAACACAATTTTGAGAGTTATCAATATATTTGCAAACAATTAATAAATACTTAATGCAGTTGATACAAAAAAAAAAAACAACAACAACAACAACAACAATGTCTGTGTGTTTTTTTGGCCAAAAAAACAATGTCTTTAATACCGGTACTTACATACATTATTTTAAAAAAAATTTAAATTTCATTAACTCTATCTAAAAATAATAATACTACTTACTACCTTATTTTATTACTTAATACACTTACAAATAATAATATTACTTAAGATTTTATAACTTATTCTATAATATTAAACATGTATTTTATAAGTTGTACTCCATCCATCCAATATTACAAGATATTATTTTAAAGTATTATGTAAAAAATGTAACATATTTTGTATCTTTAACCCTTTAGTATGTATATATAATTAGATAAAATTGAAAACTTATTGAATTTTTAGATATAGTTAATAAAATTAAAGTTGTTTTTTTTCTTTTTTGTTCTGGTATGAAACTGTCTTATAAATAGAATTAGAGAGGTGCTCTTAATCAAGAGTATAGTTAATAATGTTATTTAGTTGAGATATCTTATTAAATAACTATAAATATGAAAATCACGCATCATTTTAGGACTATTAACTAACTCATAAAAAATATAATAATTATAGTGATAAAATTAATATCATAATTATTTTATATAGAAACATTCAAAGACATGCTTGTTAAGAAATACACCCTAAATACACCACACACCAACACAAAAAAAAAAAAAAAAAAGAAGAAGAAGAAGAAGGAAGGGCAATAGATAGCGAAAGAAAAGGAAATTATGGAGTTCAGTTATATGTTGGGGCTAGAGTAGTCAGTGGCAGGCTTGCCAAACAACATGCATGTCACGTGAATTGTTTTCTTTTTCTTTGTTTTTTTTTTTAAACATAAGTATAGAACTCAATTGTGGAGTGAAATTCATACCACCATCTCAACTATAAAAATGAAAGTACTTTGAAATGAAAATCAATTAAAAAAATTCAAATCTTCTAAGGGCATTTGACAAGGGTTTCTCTCTCCCCTTATCTTTTTTATTTTTTACATTAAATATTTAAACCATTATATTTTTGTAAAACTCCATCTCACTTATTTTTTGTTGATGACTTATTTTTTTTTTGAACTATCTTTATCTCAAGCAATGATTATTCAATAACGTCTTTTTGACTTTTGCAGCACCTCAAGACAAAAAATTAATATTAATTAATCTAAATTTTTGAGTTTCAAAAATATTAATATCAATGTAGCTTCTCAAATCAATGAGGAATTGGGAATCTCTATCATTAAAAATCTTAAAAAATATCTTAGAATTTTACTAATCCATGAAAACACTAACAACAAATTGAGTTCTATACTTATAGTAATGTGGTCAAATTGTCGGGCGTAGAGACTACAGCCAACAAGCAAAAAACTAACAAAACAACTCACGTTAACAGTGTCGGACAAAAAGGCGTCCATCATAGAGGAGGAGCGTCATTCCATATTATTACATGCTCCAAAAAAAATTAAAATTAATGTGAATATAAAAATAAATCTAGTTACTTGACATCCACCAAAAAAAGAAGAAGAAGAAGAGAAGAAAATAATAATAAAATCTCTCTAAATTATATAAATGACAATCAAGTTTTTTAAAATGTCACAATTTCACTAAAGTTTTTAAAATTTTTTTTATCATTAATGAATTTATATAAATGACTAAATTGCTTTTATAACAATATCAGGAATTTGACATGCGAAATTGTGATTTATTATTGCATTGTTTCGAATATAAAAAGTAAAGTTATGATTATTTAAACAAAATTTGTGATCATTATTTGTTATTTCTAAGACTTGTAATAATATTAAGAATTTGATATATGAACTTGTAATTTTTTATTGTATTGTTGCAAATATAAGAAGTAAAGTTGTGATTATTTAAATATAACTTGTGATTATTACTTGTTATTTCTAACACTTGTAATAATATTAAAAATTTGACATGCAAACTTGTCATTGCATTATTACAAATATAAAAAGAAAAGTTGTGATTATTTAAATAAAACTTGTTATTATTATTTGTTATTTCCAACACTTATAGCAATATCATGATTTTTATTTTTATCAAGGGTAATTTGATCATTAATATAAATTCACTAATGATAAAAAAGCCTCTAAAAATTTTAGTAAAATTAAGATGTTTAGAAGGATCAATTTTTTTATATATAATTCAAAAAGATTTAATTGTAGTTTTCTCAAAAAAAATGGTCAAATTACAGGATCAAATAAAACTCTTCAATTTCATATTGAAGCCATCACATGTTACTCTTCAATTTCATATTGAAGCCATCACACGTTATGTACTTCTATCTGTTCAAATTATTTATAAATATCTTCAAATATGTTTTATTAAAATTAAAAAAATTAAAAATTTATCAACTTTATTTACAAATTTAAAAAGTTTTCAATTTTACCTTTACTAAATATACATATTTTAATAACATACTTTCTCTTACTAATAAGACTTAATAAAGGTAAAAGGGATTGACCAAATTTCTTTGCCCATATTAGTTAGTAAAAATTTACTTATATTTGAAAATGAAGTGAGAAATACTCTTTTTTTTATTTGGCAATTTTGTTTGAGGCAAGATTGTATACTAAATCATCAAAAATTTGAATTTGGGATCATCACATTATTATAAGAAACTAATTCTTTTCAATAGACCCAACCTTTATTAGTATAGAGAGAGATACTTTCTCTCACTAACATTTAATGGATGATTTTAATAATATGATTTATAATTTGAACAAAAAATATCGTTCTCCTTATACCATTTAAATGGGACGGATTGAGTATGTCACCAATTCCAGGTGATATTCTGCATTGTGAATAAGAAATACTCAATCTGTCTTGATATATAAAAATTTTTGTAGAATCTTTTTTTATCTTTAAATATAAAAGGTAGTTAGTATCTAATAAATAGATCATTATATTCTTATTAAATTGAAAAGAGATGAAGATAAATACAGGGAAAAAATTGAAATTTTATTATATTTTTAATTAAATAATTAATTTTTATTAATTTATGTAATTTAATTAAAAATATTTTTTATATAGGAATGGAGGAAGGAACATTTGAACATTAAATTGGGTATTGATGAATGCTGTCTGCCCATGGGCCCTTATTGGACTCTCCAGTAATGGGCCTCACACACTCCAAAATGACGTTACAACACTTGGTCCCACTTCCCATCCCAAATTGCCAAATCTTGTCACCTTTCTCAACTCTTTCCTTGGCTTCCAAATAACTCAGTTCGTACCACAGGGAAGACGACGACTGGTTCCCAAACCTATGCAGAGTCATCAAAGCAGGTTCCATGTCACTCTCCGTCAGCCCCAACCCTTTTCCGATCTCTCTTATCACCGCCCTCCCGGAACAAGGCAAGCAGAAATGCTTTATTACTGTTTTGAAGTTCGGCGCCGGAACGCTTTCCGACTTGTTCGTCGTCATCTTCTTCTTCAATACCAGCATAACGTACCGGAATTTCTCTGAGAAAGGAAGGATCTCAGAACCCAGATTGGAGAAGTTTGATCGGAGAGTTTCTCCGACGACCTTGAGTAAATCTCCCTGCAGCGTCACCCCAAGTTTTCCTTGTGAGTCTTCTTCCCTGAAGGCCGAGGTATAAGCTTGGTCGTCGAAGCCCATGTGGGTTCTAACTGTACTAACCACTCTGTATTTTGAACATTTCTTCGCTTCTTTCTTGTTTGAGAGCAAAATCGCTGCACTTCCCATCCGAAACAGACAGTTCATGATTAGTTTGGACCGTTCATTACCTGAGTACCATCCCGTTGATAAGATCTCTGTGCTGATAATAATGGCGTTAGAGTTCTTGTGAACACTCAGAAGATTCTTAGCCAAGTCGATTCCAATGGCACTCGCAGTGCATCCCATCCCAGAGATATTGTAGCTTTTGACGTCACTTCGCATGGAGTACTTGTTAATGATCATGGAGCTCAGAGAAGGAACAGGACAAAACCCACTACAGTTGAAGATGAGTATGTCAATGTCAAGAGGGGAGAGATTAATTTTGGCCAAGAGATCATCAATGATTGGAAACAGAACCATTTGAGCTTCTCTGAAGGACTCACTTTGATGGGTCTTAGGAGGAATATAGTGCAATGCAGGAGGAAGACATGTCAGTTCACTCTGTCCTGAAGAAGTGAGGATCTTGGCCATGAAAGCTATGCTCTCTCTGTCAAAACCAATTAGTGATGTATTTTCTAGGAACGATGAGAAAGGGACTCTGCAAGAACCAGGTGGTTTCAGACACGAGAAATCCACGAGGTAAACTGAAGAAGGCTTGGAAAGCAAGTGCTTGAGCAGAAAACAGAGGAGGAAAATACAGAGAAGAAGGAAATGAAGCATGATGGGATCAGAGTTTTGCAGGAGAAACAATGCAAGCAGTGAGAGAGTCAAAAGGCAAAGATAGTGAGAGAGTTTTGGAAGAAAATGGTGAGTAAAGAGAGTGGAATAATTGACTGCATGGGAGAGAGTGAGAGAGATAGGAACTTGGTTTTGCTTGGAAATGGTGGCTTCCATGAGTGCAAACACCAGAACAGAAATGGTGGAGAGTGTTGAGGGAAAGCTATAAATGAAAAGGTGTAAAAGAAGCGTTGTTCTTGTGGTAGTGTTGCAGTTGGCAGGTGAGGTTGAGGCAGAGGAGTTATTAGAGCCACACAGACGAGTTACAAAGATTGAACAAAAGAACCAATTGTTAAAAGAGGTTGTATAGTAGCACTACTGACCTACGTTGAGGCTGTCTAGTAGTTTAAGCCTGTACTTCAGGAATTGGTGCGAAGATAAAGTAGTCTCTGCCCACTTCGTTTAATGGTGGTTGATATTTTCCAGCAATTCTTTAAGCCCACTGGGATCGTTTGTCAATGAAGTGATATTAATGGTCACTCTCTCTTACTCTCTCTTATCTGAATGGTTGAACATAGTATAAGTTATTTTTTTATGAAATTTGTTTGATCTAAAATATAAAATATTAAATTGATATTTTATATATATATATATATATATGTGTGTAATTATATTCTTACTTCATTAAGTAATTAATGAAGGAGTTTTGAATAAGTAAAATATTACTCAATTCATTTAAAAATGAAAAGTGTACTGTATTTTTAATTAAATTTTATTCAATAAAATATTTAATTATTTTCAAGCTAATATTATCTTTATATATTTATCTTTATTTAATATAATATTTTACTTTGAAATAAATATAAAATGTTTTATTTATTATTAATACTTTTGAAAAAATGTATTAATTATACTTTGAAACACTAAAAAAGCTTTATATTTTTTAACATTTAACTCTTAAAAAATATTTTATATTTTATAATAGAGGGAATATATTTATTATACTCAAGGGCAAGGCTGAAAAAATGTAAATTTTTTTTAAAAAAACCATGATTTTAACCAATTTTTTTAGAATTACAAATTTATAGTTAACAATGACTTATATTGTGATTAAAAGGGAGTAAGACAATGTTAACTATATTTTGCATATTTGTAAAATTTAGTTATTCCCTCAATCTTAATTATAAGACAAACTTAATTAATTTTATGATTCTTAAAGAATTATAATTAATATTCCTAAATTTTTAAAACTTATTTGACATTTTAATTTTGCCATTCTCAAAAATTAATAACCGCAATAAGGTGTATTTAGAAATTACAACTTTGTACAATTAAGGAGAAGTAATATTAAAAAGAATTAACTATTATATCTTTGTCCCATATTTAAGTTTAAATATGACTTTAAAACTTTATCCTATAATAATTAGGACTGGGGGAATATTTTCTTATTCTCATGAAGAAATAAGTAACATATCTTTCCCTTTTTCCACTCAACCTAAATTACTATCTGATGAATTCAATTAGAAAGAAATTATGAAAAATGAAAAACATATAATATTTCTCATGTTACACACAAGAAACCCTCATTAACAAATAAATATAAGGATAAAATTGAAAAAAAAAATTATTTCTGCAAACACTAACTTACTAAGTGTCTTGTATTTTGATCAAGTTTAGTTCGGAAAAAAATGTCTGAAAAGACAAGGGGGGAGCAACTTTTTTCACCCCTTTTGTTATTGTTATTGATTTTCTGGGTGATCAGTATCGGCTAATATTGCCTTGCACAATTTTGAGAAAAACATGACTAATAACTATTTTTTCTGCTTTGTTCTTGTGGTAGTGTTGCAGTTGGCAAGTGAGGTTGAGACAGAGGAGTTATTAGAGCCACACCAATGAGTAGGGCTGTATAAAAGTTTTTTAATCTTGTTTGATCCAATTCAATTTGAAATAGTCTCAATCTTATTCGGTTTGTATAGATACTGATTCTTTAGGATCAAAAAGACTAAAAGATCAAATTATTTCTTCAGGTTGGACTGGACAAGAGACTAGGCATCCGGACCACTTGGTCCAATCTAGTCCTATTAATTTTTTTATTATAATTATAATTAATTTATTTTTAACAAATGTTTGAAGTATAATTGACGCTAAAGAGATGATTGTATGAAGATTTGTTGAGTTTGTTTTTAAATTGTTGTTGTAATGTAATGTTAAATTTTATTGGTGCTGTTTTTGTTAAAGTTATAAACTTAAATCATTTAAATTATAACAGAAATATTTTTTTTTATTGTTGGAAATTATTATGAATTTATTATTACTATAAGTATTTTTACTATCTTAATTGAGTTTATTATGTTAAAATAGATTATTGCCTTTTATAGAATAAAAAGAAAAAAAAAGTTAAGTGAATAGTAGACTGATAGGACTAGTTTTTCAATCCTATTAATCAAATTTAATTTTATTAAACTTTAAATTATTATTAAATAAGATTGAATTATGAGTTACTTAATTCAATTTTTTTTATAAATGAGATCGACTTCAAATTAGTAAAATTCAGTGTCCTATATTGTCTTTTGTGCAGCTCTACTGATGAGTTACAAAGATTGAACAAAGAAGTCCATTGTTAAAAGAGGTTGTATTGTAGCTTCAGGGGACCTATGTTGAGGCTGTCTAGCTGTTTAACTCTATTTTTGGAATCGGTGCGAAGTTAAAGCAGTCTCTGCTCGCTTCATTTATGGTGGTTGATTTTTTTCCTGTAATTCTTCAAGCCCACTGGAATCCTTTGTCAATGAAGTGACATAAATGGTCAGTCTCTTATACTCTCCCTTCTCAAAACGGTTGAATAAGTTTTGTTTGCTTCAAAACATAAAATATAAGATAAGTGTTATATATGTGTGTGTATATATTAATTATATCTTTATTTTACTGAGTAATTAAATATGTTTTGAATAAGTAAAATGTTACTTAATCCATTTAAAAATAAAAAATTTATAATATTTTTAATTAAATCTCACCTCAATAAAATATTTAATTATTTTTAAACTAATATAATTTTTACATATTTATTTTTATTTGATAGAGTATTTTATTTTAAAATAAATATAAATTATACTTCTAGAGAAAAACATATTAATTACATTTTTTAACATTTAATTTCTCATAAAATATTTTATATTTTTTAAAAAAAAAAGTGTATTCGATACACTTAAGAGCAAGACTAGAAAAATGTGAAAATTTTTAGAAAACAAAACTTTGCCAACTTTTTTTTTATAAGTTAGTCGTTAACAATAATTTATATTATGGTTTGAAAGGAGTGAAATAATTTCAACTATATTTTTCATATTTATAAAATTTAGTTATTCCCTCAATCTTAATTATAAGACAAACTTAATTAATTTTATGATTCTTAAAGAATTATAATTAATATTCTTAAATTTGTAAAACTTATTTGGCTTTTCAATTTTGCCATTCTCAAAAATTAATAACCACAATAAAGTATATTTAAAAATTACAACTTAATATAATTAAGGAGTAGTAATATTAAAAAGAATCAACTATCGTATCTTTGTTCCATATTTAAGTTTAATTATGGCTTTAAAACTTTATCCTATAATAATATGAATTACGGGAGTATTTTCTTATTCCCATGAAACAGTAACACATCTTTCCCTTTGTCCTGTCAACCTCAATTACTATCTAATGAATTCAATTAGAAAGAGATTATGAAAAATGAAAAACATTTAATATTTCTCATGCTACACACAAGAAACCCACATTAATAAATATAAGGATAAAATTGAAAAAAAAAATTTCTACAAATACTAATTAACTTACTAAGTGTGTGTTTGATTCAGTTTATTAAAAGTCAGTTTGATGAAAGTTTATTTAGTAAAAGTCAATTTGATGAAAGTCAATTATTGTAATAAAATTTGTGTTTGGATATATTTTTTCAAAAGTCAGTTTAAAAAATTAAAATTTTTTTGAATTAATAAAAATTTGTACTTTTGAAATGTACTTTTTAATATGTAATGATCAAAAAAGACATTAATTTATAATTTTTATTATACAAATATAATATATTAAAATGTTTAAAAAATGTGAAACAAATTTGAAATAACATAAAATTTAAAATGTTAAATAATCAGAATAAAAAATACGAAATCTAATATTGAAAAAAATTATAAAATAAATAGTTAAACATTTATTAATACTGAATAGTTATATAATTAACAGTTTGAGCTCTATTTATTTTTCTATCTAGTGGGGTACTATTTCAAAATTTTTCCCAACAAACATTGGGCTTTATTTAGTAATTTTTTCAAGGAGATTATTATACTGAGTAAGAGATGACTCGTGCTTTTCCTTTGCTTTTCTTCTCCTCCCTGTTGCATTGGTTTCAGTTCTATTGTTAGCATGCGTGTCTCCTCATTACTGAAAAGTCATCCACTCCCCTTCCTTTTGCTATTCGTTCATTTCTGTCTCGTGTTGTAGCTAAGTTTCTTTTCTATTCTTTGCTGCTGTGTGGCTGAAAAAGAAACAGAGTTTCTCTCTTCAGTAGTACACACACAGAAGAGAGAATGAGGAGATGAGTTCTAGAACACACACTAACTTTGAGCCCAGGCACAAGAAAGACAAAACTTATGAGGGAGATATCATGGTCATTTTAATGCTTACATGGTCAAAGTCCGTTTCAAAAACTACAAAGCAGAGCTTTTAGATTTTTCTATTTCATCCCATTTTCAAAGTCCTTTTTAAAGTCAGTTTTATGTAATAAATGAATCCCAAACAATATTTAATTTTTTGAAAGTAAAAAGTAACTTTTTGAGTGCCAAATGTAGAGAAACCAAACACACCCTAAGTATCTTGTATTTTGATCAAGTTTAACTTGAAAAAAATGTCTGCTAAGATTGGAGGAAACAATTTTTTTCACCCCTTTTTGTTGTTGTTATTGTTTTTCTGGGTGATCAATATCGGCAAGTACTGCCTTGCACAATTTTGAGAATAACATGACTAATAACTATTTTTTATGCTTTATAATAGCTGTCAGTTTTAAATTTTAATGAAACATTTATTTTTATACCATTTTATCATTTAATAGTGAAAATATTGTTAAGCAGAGTCGAAGTGTATGGTTACAAGTAACCCTTTGATACATGGATATTTAATCTAAACTATCTAATAACTTTTTAAATCTATGTACCAAATCATAAACAACAATTATTTCTAACAAATGCAGTAGTAGTAAATAATTTGTCAGTTTTTCAGAAATCAAATGTATAACTTAACTTTTTGAACCAAAGCATGCAA